AAAAAAAAAAAAAAAACACTTCAGGAAGCCAGTGTTGCTTTAAAAATTCTCTTGGCATAAAAATCAGAGAAAAGTCTACCTCATAGTTCTTTTCTACTAATAACTGTTTCCATGCTATCTATTCATTATCAATGAGAAATGAATTAGAGATCCAGAGTTTCATAACAAGGTCATCGACCTATTCAGGGTTACACAGGAGCAAAGCAGCAATGACACTGTTGATACAAAATGCCTATAAAGACCAGAAATTATTGCTACCTCCCACATAACATCCAATGGGAACATATCAGAAATAAGGATTTCTTGAAGTATCTAAAAATCAACAGTTTTTCACCTAATAGGCCAACAAAATCAAAAGACCCTAAAAACATTCAGTGTTGTTAAGAACTGCTACAAACTTTTTGGAAACTGACAATATCAAAATTTAAAATATATTCTTTGACCCAGTAAATCGACTTCTGGGACTTTATCCTATAGCAATAAAAGCCAACATACATAAAGATACATGTATAAGGATATCTTCTGCAGCACTGTAGTGGTTAAAAATCCAGAAATGGATGCAATATCCACTAATAGGAAAATCACTGAATGAATTATATTCAGTGAAATATTAGGCAGCTGTCAAAAAAGGTGAGCTAGATTTCTATGTATTGACCTGGAGGCCAGTTCCTGATAAGCTGCTACACAAAAAAATCAAGTTGTAGAATTGTGCATAGTATTTTCTCGTTTTTTCTTAAATCCTATATATGTGTGTGTAAACATATCTTTGTGTCTTTTTTGTGAGCTTAAGAAAAGGGATGAAAGGATTCCCACTTAACTATTAAAAGTTGGTTACCTTACACCCCCCAGAAGGAGCTGGGAGATGGAAATTAACTTTTTTGTTATAATTCTCTGTATCATTTGACTGAATACAACTCACCTGCATTACTTGTATAATGTTAATACTAGATTATAAGTTAAAACAATGACGACAACAATTGAAAAGCTAGACCTTTTGATCATTCTTACCTTCTGGAGAAAGGTCAAGAGTTTTAGTAAAACTTGGGGCAGTGCGTTTGAAGATCTTGGTTCTTTCTCCTCCCACAACCACCTCTGGTCCAAGTAGAGAGACCAGCACTGCTAGGCTGTGAAGAGTAATTGCCACAATGGAATCACTGGTATCACGCAGGCCCAGTAACACCTAGGAGCGAATCGGGTAGTAAGTGTAGACAACCACATGGCCTTTTTCTCCCCCTGTAAACAAGCAGTTGGGCTGCAATCAGACTGTGCTTGCTCAGATAAACATCATATCTTAGATACATGTTCTAGGTCAGTAGCTCTCAAACTATCTGTGGTCAAGGACGATATTTTCCCCTCCCAATCCATCACAGACTGATACTATAAAAAATACAATAAAAACAAAATTAAATAGACAAATAGATTGGAAATAACATAAAATTACGCTTAAAATGCTATGAACAGTTTTAGATTTGTCCATGATGCCTGTCAGCTCCCGCCTCTGACCCAAGGCTGCCTAATCCTCCCAAGAGCTCAACTCTTTTAAGCCTTCAGCACCCAGTATTCCAGGCTGTCTCCCTCCTGAGTACTAACCAGGCCTGACCCTGCTTAGCGTCTGAGGTCAGATGAGATGAGCATGTTCAGGGTGTTATGGCCGTAGATGATTTTCCTATCAAATTCTTGGAGAATCTAAATACTCCAATCAAAAGATATAGAGTGGCTGAATGGATAAAAATTCAAGACTCATCTATATGCTGCCTACAAGAGACTCACTTCAGGTGTAAGGCCACACACAGACTGAAAGTGAAGGGATGGAAGAAAATACTACACGCAAATGGAGACCGAGAAAGAGAAAGTCGAGGTACCTATACTCACACCAGACAAAACAGACTCTAAAACAAAGACTGTAATAAGAGAAAGAAGGCATTACATAATGATAAAGGTCAATCCAACAAGAGGATATAACATTTATAAATATTTATGCACCCAACATAGGAGCACCTAAATAATAAATCAAATATTAACAGACCTAAAGGGTAAAACAGACAGCAACACAATAGTAGTAGCAAACTTTAATACCCCATTTCATCAGTGGATAGATCATCCAGACAGAAAATCAATAAGGAAACATATGCCTTAATTGACACATTAGTCCAGATAGACTTAACAGATATATACAGAACATTCCATCCAAAAGCAACAGAATACACATTTTTCTCAAGCGCACATGGAACGTTCTCTGGGACAGATCATATGTTAGGCCACAGAACAAGTCTTAATTTTAAGAAGACTGAAATCATATCAAGCATCTTTTCCAACCACAATGGTATGAAACTAGAAATGAATTATAAGAAGAAAACTGGAAAATTCGCAAATACGTGGAGATTAAACAAAATGCTACTGAACAACCAATGAGTCAAAGAAGAAATAAAGGAGAAAGCAAAAAATACCTTGAGACAAATGAAAATGGAAATATACCAAAACTTATGGGATGTAGCAAAAGCGGTTCTGTGAGGGAAGTTACTAGGGATAAACGTCCACCTCAAGAAATAAGAAAAATCTCAGATAAACTAATTTTACACCTCAGGGAACTAGAAAAAAGAACAAATGAAGTCCCAAGTTAGTAGAAGGAAGGAAATAAAAATCAGAGCAGAAATAAATGAAATAGAGACCAAAAAGACAATAGGAAAAATATCAAACTAAGAACTGGTTCTTTGAAAAAAATAAACTAAATTGATAAACCTTTAGCTAGACTCACCAAGAAAAAAGGAGAGAGAACTCAAATAAATAAAATCAGAAATGAAAGAGAAGACAACTGATACCACAGAAATACATAAGAGATCACTATGAACAATTATACACTAATAAATTGAACAACATAGAAGAAATGGATAAATGCCTAGAAACCTAGAACATACCAAGACTGAATCATGAAGAAACAGAAAATTTGAACAGGCCTACTTCTAGTAAGGAGATTGAATCAGTAATCAAAAACCTCCCAACAAACAAAAGTCCAGACCAGACGGCTTCACTGGTGAATTCTACCAAACATTCAAAGAAGAATTAACACCAATCCTTCTCAAACTCTTCCAAAAAATAGAAGAGGAGGAAACTCATTTCATGAGGCCAGCATTACCCTGATACCAAAACCAGACAGGGATGCCACAAGAAAAGAAAATTATACATCAATATCCCTGATGAACATAGATGCAAAAATCCTCAACAAAATATTAGCAAACAGAATTCAACAACACGTTAAAGGTTCATACACCATGATCAAGTGGGATTTATTCCAGGGATGCACGGATGGTTCAACATCCTCAAGTCAATCAACATAATACACCACATTAACCAAGTGAAGGATAAAAATCACACGATCATCTCAATAAATGCAGAAAAAGCATCTGACAAAATTCAACATCCATTTATGATAAAAACTCAACAAAGTAGGTATAGAGGGAATGTACCTCAACATAATAAAGGCCATATGTGACAAGCCCACAGCTAAGACCATACTCAGTGGTGAAAAACTGAAAGCTTTTCTCCTAAGATCAAGAACAATACAAGGATGCTCACTCTTGCCACTTTTATTCAACATAGTATTGAAAGTCCTAGCCAGAGGAGATAGGCAAGAAAAAGAAATAAAAGGCATCCAAATCAGAAAGGAAGAAGTGAAACTGTCACTATGTGCAGATGACATAGTATTATATATAGAAAACCCTAAAGACTCCACCAAAAAACTGTTAGAACTAATAAATTCAGTGAAGTTGCAGGACGCAAAATTGATATACAAAAATCTGCTGCATTTCTATACCCTAATAATAAAATATCAGAAAGAGAAATTAAGAAAACAATCCCTTTTACAATTGCATCAAAAAGAATAAAATAGCTAGGAATAAATTTAACCAAGGAGGTGAAAGACCTGTAGTCTAAAAACTATAAGACAATGATGAAAGAAATTGAAGACAACACAAATAAATGCAAAGATATACCATGCTCATGGATTGGAAGAATTAGTATTGTTAAAATGTCCACAGTACCCAAAACAATCTATAGATTCAAGGCATGTATCCATGCCCTTGTACAAACCCATTCCACAGTGAACCTGGGCTGACTTTTGTGACTCACTTTAACCAAGAGAACATGACAGATGTGACACTGTCAGTTCCCAACCTATGCCTTAAGAAGGCAGTTTTGGCACGTCTGGTAGCCCTGGGCAGCTATGTAAGAAGTCCACCCACCCTACTAGAGAAATCAAGTGGAGATGTCACACGGGGGGATAGAGGCCCTTAGACAACCTGAGACTTCATGGACAGGCCCAGCTGTCCCAAGGTCCCAGCTAAGCACAGCCTTTCAGCCGTCCCCTCCGAGGTGCCAAGCAGCTATTTTGCATGTGTTGGCCCCGATGGGGCACCAGATAACTGTTGCCTCAGCTGACACCACGTGGAGCAATAGAACCCCCAGGCTGAACCCAGTCAATCCAACGAGTTGTGATAAAAATACAATGATTATCATTTTAAGGCACCACGTTTTGGGGTGGTTTATTATACAGCAGCAGATAACAAACATCGATCTTTCCCACCTACTAGCTCCTTGAAAGCAGGGAGTGTGTTACATATCTCTATGGCCCCAGTACCTAAGCACAAGACCTGGCATAAAACCAGGCCTTATAAACAATCTTTAAATAAATTAATCTCAAAGGAAAATAATTCAAACGATTATTTGAAAGATACCATGTGGCTGACAAAATCTTTTAAAACCTCATACTGAGTTGAATAATGTCTCCCAAAAGTTCATGTCCACCCAGAATGTGACCTTAAAATGAGGTCATACTGGTTAGAGTGGACCCTAAATCCAATGACCGGCATCCTTATTAAAAGGCCACATGAAGACAGAAGACACAGGAGCTACCAGAAGCTAGGAAAAAGGCAAGGAAGGATTTTCCCCTAGAGCCTTCAGAGGGAGCATGGTCCTGCTGACACCTTGATTTCAGACTTCTGGCCTCCAGAACTGTGAGAGAATAGATGTCTATTGTTTTCACTCACACAGTGTGTGGTAATTTTTTATATTAGTCACAAGAAACCAAGACAAACCTGGAGCCCTTGAGTGGATGAATCATAACAAGGGTCCCTGGTGGCTGATAAACAGGCTGAAAACCACTGATATGAATAATCTCACGTTCCTCTCAGCTAAAATTTGATTATTTTATAGTAATTTAATTATGGATACTTACAGTTTATGTTCACAAAGCATTCCACAAATGATTCTTGTTCATTTTCCCCAAAGAATTAGCAAACAGAATGATAGTTTTTCTCAGGTTAAGACCAAATATGTTAGTTTAATTGATTTGCCTATGTGAATGGAATGTAAATGCAATTTTAATCTCAGCCCTTTGTATTCCAGTTGGCTTTTAAACCGAACTGCTGCCTCTAGGCCTTCTAAGCTATTACCTTAATACTCCAGAATGCTCTTCTTCCTCACAGCCCCCCAAACACCAGCACCTACTTTGCCCACCACTTTCCTCGCCTTTCTGTGGACGGCTCTGTCACCACCCGACCGCCAACTGTCTCTGACCTGTGGCAAGATGACTTTCTTCAGCTGCTCCTGAGTGAAGTGCTCCACGTAGGCCTCGAGGTGGGACAGCAGCACCAACCGCACATGTTCCTCGTGAACCTCAAACAGCTGGAGCAGCACGGGGATCACCCGCGACTGGAACAGGGCTGGTGAGAGCAGGCAAGGGGTTTCTCCCTGCGCATGGTCTACCCCGCATCAGAGGTGGTTACAGATGAAAAAACAAGTTGTCACTTCAGTGAAAGGAGCTAAGCACAATTCATAAACTGAGCCCAGAACTCCACACACATTCCAAGTATTTTTCTGACTTCTTATGCCCCAAACCAAAGGGAAGCTCTTTTGTTGACCCAAAATTACTCAAGGCTTAATTATCTTAAGTACACTATACCTTGTAGTACTGTTTTTGAAATACTATATCATACTTAATATATTACAAAGAAAGCTTATATATTTTAATGAAATCCTGAATCAATAACTTCCTATACTAAATGTATAAAATGCTTAATCAGTGAGGAATTTCGCATACTAGATTAGGTTGATATTGTTGTTGCAATTTTATCTGCAAAACCGAGAGGTGTTAAATGCTACAACAGGACTTGGTGCTGGATGGTCGTCTCTTCCTAGGCGTTATGGTAGTAGTTATCAAACAGAGACTTGCATCAGAATAATTTGGGGACCTTAAAAAAAAAAAATATATATATATATACACCCCTATACCCCTGCCCTTGCTCTGTCCCCGAACTAGTGGATCAGGCATAAGGCAAATTTTTAAGAAGCTCCCCAGGAGATTCAGAAATACACCCTCATCTTGGATCTCCTGAGTAATAGGATGGAAGAGCTATAAAGAAAAATTCATGGCTAAAGGGAATGACAAAGTAGAGAGATTAGGAAATTCTATGTTGTAACATAGTTACCTGTAATGCTGCTTTGTTGAATTGAGATCGTTTAAGAAAATAAATTCTGAAAGCAGGATTCTACTGAACTCAAAATTCTATAGAATTTTACTACTGCTAACACATCTAACCCAATGTGTTACCATCCATAGTGCTTATGAGGTTATAAAGTTTCAAAGAAATAACCTCATTTCACTCAGAAAAAAAATGAAGCTCCAAGAAGTAAAGTGATCTCAGTGCTTTTCAATTTTTCCACTGAAAGTAGAAAATAAAAGGGTTGCTCTTGCGAAGTCGGGAGGCACAGGCCTGCATGATTCACTGCAAATGCACACGTCCTTTGAAGATATATGTCTTGTCTTAAAGCTTCATATGTATTTCATAGACTAGTCCTACATATGTGTGTGTGTATGTGTATATATGTGTGTTTTTGATATACTACTTAGTGCAGTGAGCCTGACTCTCCAGGAAGATGGTCCATATTTATCCTGTGGGCTTTGGTACCCAGGTATGAGTCAAAGTTATCACATCAGGGGCCAATAACTGTTCTCCATTTTTGGAACCATACATTAACTACACCATGCAGTAATCTCACTCTGCTCAAATATGGACTAATAGTCCCCAACTCCTTAATTACCAATAATGCTTTGGAAAAAAACTCACCTTTTTTGGGGCCAAGCAGATGAGGAAGAAAACTCTTCACAGCTACTGGCTCTGCAAATACCAACTGATTGAGCAGGAGAGGCACCAACCGTGAAGCTATCAACTCCTCTGACAGGCAGCTGACCCTGTCCAGCAGAAACCTGGGGGCAAAGAAGGGAAGCGTGGGAGACTGGTCGGGACACCGTGTCAATGTACTTGTGCAGTTTAGACACATCTGGCCTCTCTCCCACTTCCACCAAAGTGATAGGAAGCTAGGGAAGGTGAACATGTTGGTCCCCAGGTATTTAAGAAAAATGCAGAAGGCGTGAGGCGAGGCAGCTAGTCAGCACACACACTATCTCCAATCCAAGCTAGAAAATGTTTCAACAAATTGCCCTTTATTAATAGCAGAGGTGTCCTCCTTCTTCCTTTAATAAGCCAGAGGCTTTCTAGTCAATAAAAGGTACTTTCTTCACATTTAAAAGATGTAGGATATTAGATCATCTAAAGTTTTCACAGTAAACAAAATACAGGCTTTTGTTACTAAACTTATTAAATTAAAACAACATATATAAAAACACTGTTAAGAAACGTGTAGATATTAGGTATTAGTAGTAATAATATCCCACTACACAATCACCGTTGGCAGATAATCTTTATTAGGAAATAGGTCCCATCATGCATCATCTCCTTCAAGCCCCTAGGCCACTACTGACAAACAGGTCTACATCCATACTTATTCCTATCTCCTTTCCTGGTACCAAGGGTGAGGGCCTTCCCTATCTAAGGCCACCCCATCTAGCCACTGCCCCAACATCTCCTTCTCTTCCAGGACCATCACCGACAATCCCCCCAACACGGCTGGGCTTCAAATGCTCCCTCCACTCGCTCCGTTCCCTCCTCCTACAAACATACTCACATCTCTTGCGTCCTTAAAAATGTCCTTCCCTTGACTCCATTTCCTTCTTTAGCAATGCTAAGTTCTCTCCTCTCTGAACTTTTCAGGTTTTACCCAATGTCTACTTTCTCACCTTCCATCACTTCTCAGTTCCCTGCACTCTGACTCACTCTGCTGAAACAGCTCTTTCTAAGACAAGGCTACCAGTGCTGCCCTGAGTGCCAAGGGAGCAGGCATGTGTGGATTCTTCTGACCTTTCTAAAATTCCCTACTCCGTTGGGAGTACCAGCCTTCCTGGCTCTCTCTGAATCTCCTCTAACCGTCGCTTCTTTGTCTCATTCATCAGCCACTCCCTCCCCACCAGCCCCCTTACGAGGCTGGGTACCCCCGAGTTATAATTTAGACCCACTGTCCTTCTCATGCTCCCCACTTTCTCTGGGAAAACGTCAACATCTACAGGCTGAGGAACCCTAATATTCACCTCGAGCTCATCAGCTTACACTTCTCTGCTGAGTTTCAGACCCACGTGGCCAAACACCCAGGTACATCTCTACCTAAAGTTCCACAGACACTTCCAGCTAACACTTCTCTGCTGAGTTTCAGACCCACGTGGCCAAACACCCAGGTACATCTCTACCTAAAGTTCCACAGACACTTCCAGCTAACACATTGAACACCCAATTCATGATTTTCCCTGCACATTAGGTCCTCTCCTCCAGCATTCTCTAATTCATTTGCTGATAATCACTAAGGCTTGCTAATTTTATCTTTTAAATCTTTCTTATCTCAGTGTCCTTCAGTGTACCATCAATGCCTTTATGTGCGTCCTCACATTTACTGCCCTGACTACTACGGTCTATTAACCAATCCAAGTCTGACATGAGTTAAGCCTGTGCCCTCCACAGACAACAGACTAACCCATCTTTACAGGGAGATTTACCCATTTCACTGCCTGCTTTCACTCCTTCAGTGGCTTCAGTGCCTGAAGTTCACTGCTTAAATAATGTCAGTACTCCTCACCACCACGTACAAGGGTGCCCACCTCTCACTAGTCCTTGTCTTGGAATTTGCCCTCCAACAGGACACTGCTGTGTGTCGTTCCACACAAAAGACACACTGTGTCCTGCCTTTGTGCATTCGTTCGTGTTGCCCCTCTGCCTAGAATGCTGCCTCTCACTACCTTCTCCCTGTCCTGTGTACTCAGGACACCCTGCAAGCTCTACCACTGTTGAAGGGTTATCAGTCTGTGTCCCTCACCAGAACCATCCATCCCAGGGCCCAGCAGAAAGCCTGACACAGAGGAAATGTTCAGCAAACTTTGTTAAAGAGGCCAAATGTCTGACCATCCTCTCTAGAATACCTGAAGTGATTACATGGTCTTAATCCAAGTCACTGAATTTTAAGGTGTTAACTTTCTGAACTTACTTGAAGAATTCAGTTTTTTCCTCTTCACTCTTCAATGTTAAACTTTTCAAGAAATTCACAACTTCTAGAAAATCATTCCTAAATGCCAAAAACAAAAATAACATGCAGGACAAGAGATTAGAGAAGACATGTTAAAGATTGAAGTCATAATCACAGACCATACTATAAAAATATTCAGCAAAGAGCATTCTCTTATGCCATTTAGAAGATTCTATTATAACTTAGTAGCTTTTGAGACAAATACTATGGAACATTAGGGAATCTAATATTTTAAGAATATCAAAGAGATCTGTGAAGAGGATACATGCTCACACACAAACACGTGCACACACAAATGCTAACTAACTTTGTGGTTTTAATAATCATCGTAATCATCCAAATTTTTTTTTTTTTTTTGATGAGGAAGATCAGCCCTGAGCTAACATCCGGTGCCAATCCTCCTCTTTTTACTGAGAAAGATTGGCCCTGGGCTAACATCCGTGCCCATCTTCTTCTACTTTATATGGGAGGCCGCCACAGCATGGCTTGACAAGTGGTGCATCGGTCCATGCCCGGATCCGAACCTATGAACCGCAGGCCGCTGAAGCAGAGCGCACGCACTTAACCGCTACGCCACCGGGCCCTCATCCAAATTTTTTATTGTAATAGGATGTGGTTAAATGAAATATCCTGGAGAAAGAAATGGTACTACCATCACAAAATAGTTGTTGATTCTCAAGTCTCCTTTGGTGAAGTAAAAACTATTAAAGAGAGTTGGGAAAAGAGGAATTGCTTGTACAAGTCACAGGAATCTTCTCATTTCTCCTGTTGTAGGTTGTTTGGTCATTCTTTCAGCCAGGCAGGGGAGAGTGGTGGGAGTGGTCACTTTCCTGCAGCGCAGCCAGAAAGTCACGAAGGCTGCGGACGGCTCAGCTCCAAGGGAGCGCCGCTCACGTCCTACTCTATGGGAGAGTTGCCCCTGGGAAGGACGCTTTGGAACGCAGCCTCCACCTCCTTACACAGCAGCCCTCATAAGCCCGGCTAACCACCTGGTCTCCACATTTTATATTTACACCTGTTTCCCTCCGGCTTAGTAGAGGAGAAAAAGCACCAACATCATAACTGAAGTCTAATCAAACTGGTTCAGCTGCCTCAGCAAGAGATGCTGGCCTGGTTCCTTCTGTCTCTGGCTGGGTTTTCTCCTCCTAGGTAACACTCTGATTTCGGGAAGGGGATGCTGGTGTGTGTTTTTGGCTTTCTTCTCCCCTCTGTTTAAAATACAATTCTTACTAAAGAACTCTTATCACACACCGTGATTAGAGAATCTACTTACTGTAAAGGATGATTATTCTTTGTAGAGACTTTCTATCAAAGTAAGTAAACTATTACTATGAATCATCCAAAGGACACAGAAATATCTTGGTTAAGAGACTCTTGTAAGGGAAAGGTTTTGAACAGTTTCTTTGAAACACAAATGACAAAATCCTAATAACTACAATGAAACCATCCCCTCTGCTTTGTTTAATAATAACAACCCCCCGAGTCCTACCCTAGAGGCAATTTCTCCTCCCTCCAGGGATAATATTAGCTCTCCCTTCACTCTGGTTTTTCTCAGGCTCTCCGACTGCAAACACATCAAGATTTTTAGTTTCAAAACTGACATAAGACTGATTTTGCTAATAAAAGTCATGAATGTGGAATTAACCTTTGCAGAAGTTCTGCGGTCGTGGAAATAAAAAAATGAAGGACACATAATTAAAATTAACCTTGAAAAGAGGTTGAAAACCATCTCTGAATCCACCGGCAGCATTCACAGTGATATGGTGCCCCTTCCTCTACACTGACTTCTTGGCTCTTCCATCATATCACTAGACAAAAAACAATCTTCTGCCTAAAGAAAAATAAGCTCATTTCCCCCACCAACAAAAAAGAAGTCAACAATAACAAACTCATATCAATAATACAATGGCAGCAGAAAGGAGAGGCCATGTTCATTAAGTTTCTCCATTAACATACAAGTGTCAACCACTGGACACAGCTTGGCTTCTTCACAATCAGAAGCCTTAAGGAACCTGGCTATAAATTCTAACCCATGCCTTCATGACAAAGATTTCTAAAACTCTAAGGATAGGAATCTGAGAGGCAACCCAACTTCTCCCTCTATTTTCTCATGTGGATAATTCAATCTCTCCTAATAATTAACAACAACAACAACAACACAAAAGGGACTGTATATTTGGTCCTCCAAAAGCCACCATTGGAGTGCAATGTACAAGAGAACAGGCTGGCAGCAGTGGGAAGCAGCCGGCATGTCATCCTAGGTGCCCTCACCTGAAGAAGTCATGGGACAGTAGGGTGCAGAGCGCTGGCCGACATTTTGGAAGGGGATTCAGCAAAGTTGAGTGCAAGGTCTGTTGGAAGCTGGAGAGAACATCCGCTGAAACTGAAATCCAGAGCGACAGTTAGTTTCCAGTGCCTTCTCCCTCTTTTCAGGACCGCTATAGCTGGAGACTGACGAGAGCAAAAACCAACCTGGAAAAGCCCAAACAAACAAAGCCCTGGCTGTTGCTCAACAGCGTCCTACTTGCCTTAAGCCAAACTCCTTGGCAGGTGTAGAAAACGGTCCTGCCAACACCTCCAACCCCACCCCACCGGCCTCCCCTTCTATCCCTCTCATTTCCTGATCAGTTTAACGCAACTCAGGCCTAAAAGAGAAGGTTTAAAAAGTGGCAGGTTCAAGGGTCTTTTCAACCAGGCTTCCTCATCCACACAACACAGAAAGTTATTTGAATGACTATATTTTCAATTCTCCCAAGGATGGTTCATAGTTGCCACCATTCTAGACACAGTGGAAAGCAGTGAGTCCATTACCCATAGGGGATGCCTTAGGGCCTTAGGATTCTCAAGTGTTTAGGCTGGGACAGTTTAGAGCCGACAGCTAACTGGTGCTTAGAACTTCAGAATGCTGTATAGCCTGGTAGAAGAAACTGCATGAGAACCACACAAAGGTTCAGCACTGCGAGATACACAAGCCAGGAAGGGGCCTAATGTGACATGGACCCCAGTACTTAACGAATGGACAACTGAGGGCCGGGAGTGGTTGGAGGAGACTGAAGCAGGCTGCTGAGCATGCCGTGAGAGAACTCGGAGGAGAAAAAGAAAATGCGTTCAGTAGCTTGGGCTTTAAAGGGGCAACAAATGAAAAAAGTAATGTGTGGGGCCGGCCCCATGGCTTAGCGGTTAAGTGCGTGTGCTCTGCTACTGGCGGCCTGGGTTCCGATGCCAGGCGCGCACCGACGCACCGCTTCTCCAGCCATGCTGAGGCCACGTCCCACATATAGCAACTAGAAGGATGTGCAACTATGACATACAACTACCTACTGGGGCTTTGGGGAAAAAGGGAGGAAGATTGGCAATAGATGTTAGCTCAGAGCCGGTCTTCCTCAGCACAAAGAGGAGGATTAGCATAGATGTTAGCTCAGGGCTGATCTTCCTCACAAAAAAAAACAAGAAAAAAAGAAAAAAACAAACAAAAAAGAAAAAAGTAATGTGTAAATTACATCAAGAAGAAAAAATCAAAAGGACTTTGAAAGAATAAAGAAATGTTAAGCTTGATTTAGAAATTAATAAAAATGCTTGAACCTTATTCTATTCTTCAGGTTATTAGACATAAATCAATAACAGCACTCATTTACTTATTGGCTGGCTCAATAAGGAATAGCATCTTTAGACCATAAATACCAATACCAATTAATAAGATAATAATAAGATACCGATAGCCATAGTTCAAAGTGTTTTCTACTTAAAATTCTTTTAACTATGCAAAGTAAAGAAACCTACAGCTTCTTTCCTCACTGCCATTAAGATCTGCCCTAAACAAGTTACTTGGTAAGCAGTAGGTTCCTTACTAGGATCAGACTGCAGTCCTCTGAATCCACACAGAACGGGCCATGGATGGTTTTCCTACTTATTCTGTGGATGCAGTAGTAACTCCGACTCACCCTTTTCACTTAAGATTGTGAGCAAACTTTCCACCAACGTCCCAAATGAATAGGCATCCCGGGCATGTCCATGTGACTCTGGCAGAGTTGTGAATTCTGGAGACTAAAAGTAGTAAAGACCATTAAAACCAGAGGATCTGCCTTATTAACCATTTCTAATGTTCTCTGAAGCACTTTCTCCCATTTTTGTATTTATTATACCAGGCTAACTACATAGTACCACACACTGATTTTATAGACTCTTAAAACTATTAGTGAATAGAATTTATCAAAAATTTTAAGATATCAAAGGTAAAAAGAAAAAAAAAAGGTTAGAATATGATATACGTCTGTGGTTTTCAAAAATATTTTTGACTGCAACCCAGAGTAAAAAATGTATTATTTACTATTATCAGTATACACACATATGTATAAATACACACATAAAGGAAACAAAGTTTCATGAAACAATACTTAGCCTTACTACCTAAGATAATCAATGATATTTTCTATTTTATTTTATTTTTTTCTCAAAATGCTGGTCAGGAGCCCTAAATTTAAAACCCACAAATGATCAGTTTGATAAAAACTAGAATATACACATAGTACTGATTTGGATAAATCTGATTTACTTCAAGTCTTAGGTCTATACTTGTAAGTTTACAGTTGGGTTTGTATTTCCTGTAAAGCACACTAAATATGTCTTTGGGGATAAATGTTTATAGTTATAAGAACAAGTTTAGAGGGAGCAACTGCTTTCAAATTTTTTAGTAAATATAATCTTTTTTTCCCCAAAGAATAACTACTAGTCCTTCTATTTCCTCTATGTGAGCCGCCATCACAGCGTAGCTACTCACAGACGAGTGGTGTGGTTCCATGCCCGGGAACCAAACCCAGGCTGACATAGCGGACGGAGCACATCGAACTTTAACTACTAGGTCATCAGGGATGGCTCAAATATAATCTTTCTTTACCAGCACCATAATATTAATAATCACTCTTCTACACATCTTGGAATCCTAACTAATGGCAGACAGGCAGATGAATGGCTTGGGTGTAGCACAGGAAAGGGTTGGGGTGTTGCTTCTCCATCCCTTTCGGCTTCTAGCAAAGTACAAAGATTTACCATGAAATGGGTATGAAGCACCAACCCCATTCACAATGAGGTATCTTTACACAATATCATAGGTGTCTATAACACCAAAAATGTAAGCTGAGTGTCAAGAAAAAGGCTCCCTGCCATGGTGATAAGATTAATCTCAGAAGCCTTTAAGATCAAGGAATCATGAGGTGTCTATAACTTAGCAAAGAAAGAGGTGGGCAGAGGAAAGTTTTTTAAGTTTCACATTTAGGTACACTAAGAAGCCTTTGTTACAAGTGAAGTGTATCATCTTACCATCTCTTCAGGGGGGACAGACGCTGGGTCTCTTACTGACTGAATACTCCTCAGAAACTAGACAGGGAAATAAATTAAGGAAAATAATTCATACATACGCTTGTGAACCAACCTCTTCCACCAAGTTACAGACGAAACAAGCAATGGAAACAGCAGCAATGAAACCTTCAAACCAATGCCACACATTAAATACACAAATTAAAAATCTTCCTGATAACAAATGTAAATACAGTACCTGACACAGCACAAGACTTAAGAGAATAAATTTTAGTTCCCTTTCGTCTCCACTTTAGATGGGTTAACAGACACCCTCTGCTGTTCAGAGACATCTCTGTATCTGACTGCCTTATACGCAAATTAAGAGTACTTCTTTCTCATCCTGCATAGACATTAACAAATAAAAGGCTTTTCTAGCATAGAACATGTCTATCGTTAGTCTTCTCCCTGAATCAAGTCAACCTTAAGGCTTGCTGAGATATACAACTTGAGGACCTTGTAAGCTACAGAGACAAAACCAACATCCACAGAACAAGTCCATTCATTCACTGATTCCAGGATTATTTTTCAAGAGCTCACATGTCCCAAACACCATTTAGGGCACTAGGAATACAAAATGAAGGCAATAAATGCCCTGCCCCCAGCCAGGTACCACGACCTAAAATGTGAAGTAAGAACTTAAGTAGCATGTGCTGAGTGCCGTGGAGGCACAGAAGGAGCCACTAATTTTGTTGGGTAGGGAAAGCCCGGGGGAAGGCTTCGCAAAGAGGAGACTTAGCTAGATCTTAGACTTCAGCTTCATCTTACATTGTCCAGAGAGCCCAGGGGAAGAAAGGCCTCCCAGCCACAGAAGGGCACACAAAGGAAGGAGGTGAAGGAGTACCGCACGTCCGAGAACACAGCTGAGCTGCATGGAGCAGGACAGAGAACATAGCTCAACAGCTTTGAGTGTAAATGAAGCCGAAGGTGAGCTGGGGAAGAGACTGCGAAGGGCCTTATATGCCATGGGAAAGAATGCAGAACATATCCTGCAGAAAGGACTACATGCAGTTATACTACGCAGATGTAAGGTGAATCCTGAGAAGACAGTGATCAACAGGGGCAGAAACAAGCAGAGGAGCGTCTTCGTGGTGGAAGTCGCATTTGCACTGAGCAAGAGCTCCTGCAGGTGCACATTCACCAAGGCCCACGTTGGGGAGCCGCACACACGCAAACAGGGAAGTCAGGCTGGGCCAGGAAGTCAGTCAGCCACCACTCCAGTCGGGATATTATGATGGGAGTGGTTTTTCTTTTTTAAAGAAAAAGTAAGCCTAGTGGCAACATGCAAAATGGTGAAAACAAGAAACAAAACAGAGAATAGAAAGGTTCCTCAGCCTAGGATGGAAATTTGTAGATCTCTGTCAGGCTTAATTATAAGAAGTACCATAGGGAGTAACAACACTGCCCAGTAGGAGGAGTTAAGATGCACAGGTCCTATTTCCAGCTGTTAGGACATAACGAATGACTCTGTACAACTTAGACGATTATTCAATGAACTCTTCCTGAGTACCTAATATGTGCCAGGCACTATTTTGGGGGGAGACATAAAGATAAATGTAAGAGACTATCACACCCTCAAGCTCAACCATGGGTAAAGAAGACAGACACATAAAGGTAATTTCAACATTAAACATTAAGTGGTACAATTAAGTACAGGGCACTACAGCAGCAGAGAGGAGGGGGATTTAATTAAAAATTTGACCAAGCCATTTTGCCTCTCTCAGTCTCAGGCTCCTCAGCTATAAAACGAGGAGAATAGAATAAATGATCCCTAGTGCCCTTCTGAAGAATAAAATCCTACAATTCTATGAATATGAGCATTGACAAAAAAGTCAAGTCTCCACATCTAAGATCACCCTAACATGGAAGGGCAGTCCCCAGGTGAGACCCACATAGCAAAATGCTCTCGAATTCTGAATAACAAAGAGGACCCACACCTGGCTTACCTCTGGTGTCGCCTGAGGAACTGCACAGACTGTCTCCATTCCCCCCAGCTTCCAGTGCCCATCTTCACTCACAAACACAGACGACAAGCAGACATTGTTGTGTGTTAGGTGTCCCTGGAAAAAAAGAACAGGAAGAAGACTGCCAATCCAATTTTTAAAGTAGAAGTTTTAAAAAACTAAACACTAATCACCAAAAAAAGATCATGGCAAGTCTTCCCACCTTTGGCATAATAAATGGAATTGCAACTTTAAGGAATAACAAATTGAATGAGACTGCTTAAGCATTATGAGGTTAGAAAAAAAGGAAAAATACAATGGAAGGCTTCTGTTATCTCCCCCTGCCTGGTGAGGGAGGGCAACAATGACACGAAAGCCACTGCACATCCCCATCTCCATGGGAGTCGGGAGATACAAGTGGCCTTACACATAAATGTATAGGTCTTTATAACCTATATTGTTTGCTTCCAATGCCTTTGGAGGTAAAGTTTATCTTTGCTCCCATAGGTTACTGTATTAATTTTCTCCTCTAAATTCTTTCTCACCTACATTCTATCACGAACCCAGATCCACTTCACCTGAAATCTTGTCAGTAGGCATTTAAAAAATTCTGCCTGAAGTAGAGGAAAATGGAATGATAAGGACCACCAGAAATATCCCACAGACAACAGAAGAACCAAATTTAAAACTATAGAAAACAGTACAGTCAAATAAGAGGGAATAAAATGAGAAGAGGGTTGAAGTATATGTTTTTTTCCCCAAACCAGAAATCATTCCAGTAGACAAGTGCATTTTAAAGATTCTACCCAGTAGATCAAATATGTACATACTTTTATATAAAATACTCTAAGATATATATATTTTAAAGGGAGATTTAGAATAGTATGTATGGTATGTTTCCATTTGAGAAAAAATAAAGGAGAATAAGCATACAGATATTTGCTTCATATGCACAAAGAACATCCCTGGACTAATACACTGATCACCATGGCTGCCTCTGCAGAGAAGTGGGGCCCTGGATTCAAGGAGGGGACAAGGACTGACTCTTCCCTATATGCACTCTCATACTATTCAAAATTTTTACCACATGCATGCACTTTCTCCAACAAAGAAAATATTCCTCCACAGTGTAGCATTAATAATAATTCTTATGTGAATCTTAGATATACTTTTAAGAGATGATAAATCCAGAGTGATATTTGGAGAGTCTGTCTCCCATTAACAGAAAATTAAAAAAAAAAACATACATTAAGATGAGTCAAATGCAAATGTTTCTAAACTGTGACTGGTACTTTTTAATCTTAGGGGGCTGCCAAAGGCCTTAATACTTCAGAATGTAAATTCCAGTAAGAAACAGTAGCTCAATAATACTGTCAAGAAATAGACCAGGGGTAAACATAGGAACTACCGCTTTATCCCCTTTATCCCCACAGTGCTCAGGGGCTGACTCGCACTGCTGACACACACTCAAACAGGAAGGGGTGTGTAAAACTCTGCCTCTTTCTAAGAAATGGTCATTTCTTTCTCCAAAATCTAAAATGGAACAAAACTCCTGAAAACAAATAGGAACTTCGGTCCACAGCAGCACTGATATTAAACCTTTATCTCTGACTTCATAACAAATACCAGCTGTAGCTAATTTTAGGTAAAGACTTATTCAAAACTAGAGGGAGGCTACAGTAAACTGAAATAAAGTTCTATAAATAACTGCCCGGGGACGGAGAACCCGTTGCCCATCCAACAAACCGTCTGTCTGTCTGTCGCACCTCTTGTGCCTTCCAGTGTGCTACCTTCCTCAGGAAGCTCTCTAATGAGGATAGGTAACTTATGATTTCTCTACATGCCATGATTTACAAGCACCACCCCACACACCAACTCCGGTCCACATCAAAGCCCGTGACGCAGACTGTGTCCAGGTAACTTACTCTGTCATGAAGGAAGATAAGAGCCAGCAATACGTCATAGATCCCAGCACAGACCTCTGCAGAAGACAGTGTCTCCAGAGCCACTTCCAGAGGCTGTACTCGCTCAGTGACAAGATGAATGCCATCTGCTTCCACAGTGCAAGATAAAAATCTGAGCAAGCAAGGGTGACGAAGTGTCTTCAAGTGCTTTAAAAATACAAACAGAAGCGTTGATAAAGTTAATGAATCAAAACCAAATTATAGTTCCATATATATGGTGGTAAAAGTCAGAAAATGTATACTTGCATTCACGGTCCTTTCCAGCTCCCTACCTTCCCCACCCACTCCTCAAATTTCAAATAAGGCAAAGGAGAATCTAGGACTTGTTCTGACTTGATTCAATTTACCAACATTTAAATAACTCTGCAGAGAGTTCCAGTTCCACTACGGCAGTGTAAGCCCCCGAGGGGCCCAGACGTCCCAATGATTACTACTATAAACTCTGAACCAAGTGCCAAAAACAACTACCTGAGAATTCTGAAAAGTAAACAGAAGCACACAAATTACGGAGGGGAGTCAAGATGTGGAGAAGAGACACCCATGGGGGTGAGTTTCCTGGTTTAGGGACTGTCCTGTCTCACAGCTGTGCACTGAAGGCAGGCCCCAGTCACAAAGCAGGGTAGCATAGGTGGCTAAAACTCTGAGAGAAACTCTGCCATCTTTCTGACCAGAAGAATCACAGAAAGGAACCAAGGCAGGCCTGAGTATGAGAAGGCTATCCCAGAGGGGAGAGAGCTGGAGAAGGAGATGCCCTAGTTATCTGCATACCCACACAGGTCTCAGACTAACCCTTGAAGCAAGCATGCACGGGATAAACCCAAACCAGCGTAGGAAAATTTTGAAAAATGAACCAAAGTTTGAACTATCATACACAGGAAGGGTAAGGGGAAAGTAGTTCAAAAACTTGAGGCCTGAATCTAGGGGGATTGATTGCCTGCTAAATCAAAAACATCCACATTCTCTGAGGACTTTTAACAGAACCAAGAGTCTATACAACATGAGAGTCAAAATGTCCAGGACACAATCCACAGTTACTCAACAACCACGAAAATGTGATCAATTCTTAATGAGAAAGACAACCAACCAATTCTAATCCCAAGATGGCCCTAGAACTATCAGAAAGAATTTAAATCAGTTATTATAACCATTCTCCTAGAGATAAATGAGAACAGTTATGAAATAAGTGGAAAGATAGAAGTTCTCAGCAGAGAAGTGAATGTTATATAAAAGAACTAAATGAAAATTTTAGAAATGAAAAAATATTGGAAATAAGAAACTCAATGGATGGACTCTAACAGAATGAAGATCACAGAGGGAAGAGTCAGTGAACATGAAGATGCTGACCAACCTGAAGAACAAAGAGAAAAAGTATTTTTATAGAAATGATCAGAGACTCAGGAACCTGCATGACAATAACATAAGGTCTAATGTATATAACTGGAGTCCCCAAAAAGAGAGAAGAAAAGAATTGGGGCATAAAAAATGTGATGGCTGAAAACTTCTTAAATTTGGCCAAATACTTAAGTTTATAGATTTACAAAGTTCAGTGAACACCAAAGGTTAAATCAATGAAAACCACACTGAGATACATTATCATCCAACTGCCGAAAATCAAAGATAAGTAAAAAACCTTGGAAGCAGCTCAAGAAAAATCCCACATTACGTGGAGAGGAATGACAACCTGAAGGATACAGATTTCTCATCAGAAAACACGGAGGCCAAAGACACAGGGGAACAACATCTCTGCAGTGCTGAAAGAAAAAAATGATCAACCTGAACTCTGTATCTAGCAAAGATATTCTTCAGGAAAGAAAGCAAAATAAGTGTATTTTTGATCATGGAAAACAGGAAAGTTACTGAAAGCAGACCAGCTCTGTAAAAAATGCTAAAGGAAGTTCTTCAAGCTGAAGAGGAAATGATACCAAAGGAAAACATGGATCTTCAGGAATGGAGGAAGAACATCAGAAATGGTAAATATTAGGATAAATATGAAGGCTACATTTTTACCTCTTAAGTTATTTAAAATATATACGACCATTTAAAGCAAATATCCTCACATCGCCCGGTGAAGTTCTGAGTGTGTGTGACGTATATGTGTGTGTGTGATATATACACAGGACAGCTGGTATACATGTAACAGGACAGCAGGGATGGGGGCCGGAGACACTCAGATGATTCCAAGGCTTCTACATTTTGTGTGACGTGGTACAACATTAACCACACGTAGACTATTAAACACTAGTTATGTATACTGAAATCCTTAGAGCAACCATTTAAAAAATATAAAGAAATATAGCCAAAATATCAAGATACATTAAAATGGAATACTAAAAAATATTAAATTAACCCAAAAGAAGAAAAGGGGGAACAGAAGAACAAAAACCAGGAGATAATGAAAATAATAAAAATGGAACCATATTAACAATTACATTAAATGTTAATTATCTAAATGCTCCAATTAACAGTGGATAAAAAAGCGGAGCCAGAGGCCGGCCCTGTGGCATAGTGGTTAAGTGCGCGTGCTCCACTGCTGGTGGCCTGGGGTTCCCTGGTTCGGATCCCGGGCGCGCACCGAGGCACCGCTTGTCAGGCCATGCTGTGGTGGCGTCCCATATAAAGTAGAGAAGAAGATGGGCACGGATGTTAGCTCAGGGCCAGGCTTCCTCAGCAAAAAAAGAGGAGGATTGGCAGATGTTGGCTCAGGGCCGATCTTCCTCACAAAAAAAAAAAAAAAAAAAAGTGTATACGCCTATAAAAGACATACTTTAAAAATAAAGACAGAGCTGGGTAATTGGATAGAAAGTAAAAGGACAGAAAAGGATTACCATGAAAACAGTAGGCATAAGAATGCTGGAGTGGATCTATTTCTATCATCAGACAAAATACACTTCAAGAGAAAGAGTATTGCCAGAGTTAAAAAGGGATATTTCTTAAAGAACAAAAGGGACAATTCATTAAAAAGACATAACAACTATGGATAAAGAAATTATGGTGTACACACGTACACACACACACACACACACACACACACACACGGAGTATTATTCAGCCATAAAAAAGAACGAAATCTTGCCATTTGCTACAACATGGATGAAACTGTTAACATAATGTCATGAGTGAAATAAGTCAGAGAAAGACAAATACCATATGATCTCTCTTACATGTGGAATCTAAAAGAAATAAAATAAAATAAAAAACCAAGCTCATAGATAAAGAGAACAGATTGGTTGTTGCCAGAGGCAGGGGGTAAGGGGGTAGAGAAATGGGTGAACTGTTTTTGTTATTTTTTTTCAGTTTAAATAAATTTTTAAAAATACAAAAAAAAGACATACAGTTATAAATGTGTATGTGCCAAAGAGCAGAGCCTCAAAATACACATGAAGTAAAAATTGGCAAAATGAAACAGGGAAACAGACAATTCCACAATCACATTTGGAGATTTTAAAACTCCTCTCTCAACAATCAATAGAACTGGCAAAAAAGAAAAAAAAGTAAAAACAGAGACCAACTACCTTGCTCAAACTGACATTCGGAACACACTACAGCCAACGACTGCAGAACACACCTTCATAAGCGCACTTGCAATAGTCACAGAAACAGACTTTATGCCAGCCCTAAAACAACTTTGAATGGATTAACACCTTAGCCTGACCCTAGGGCAGGGTAAACATTTTAATTTTGTTGATCTTGTTTTCTTACTTTTTACCTTTTTACTTGTCAAGCATTTAATCCCCTTGAAAATATTTAACCATCTTTAAAACGTTTATCTTTTTATTATCTAGAAAAGTGATCATCAAATGTTTTTGTTCACACACTTCACACCAGTAAAAATGTTAGATAAGCAGCCTATATGTAATATATATTATATGTATATATAACATATATATTTTTGTGTATATATATATATAAATAAAATACATATACTATAAAACACCCACAAAATAGAAGGTACCGAGAAAAGGGATTAAAAGTAAATTTAAATAGACATTCTCGATATTTTTTCCCACAAACTGCAATGAATCATGTTGCACAATCCCTAGGGTATGGATATCCCACTTTAGAAATCCCTTGTATGGAGTATTCTACCCTTACGCACACCTTTTTTCTTTGTCCTGTTTTCTAAGCAGACAGAGAGTACACCCAGATGGATGACAAATATAAGACAATTTTGTGTCTGAAGATGGGAGGTTAAATCTGTGGGGTTTCTTTCCTTCCCTGGTTGGTTTTGTATTAGCCCTATCAGATCCAGGTTTTCCAATCTCCGCCCATGCTGCATACCCCAAAAAATTTGACCTGAGTAACTTAGGAGATCCATAGTCTAAAATTCCCAACCCAGATAAATAAACTTATTATTTATTTACAGCAAAACTTAAAATGCTAGAATGCTTGTTTTCCAGAAAACTGTTTTCTACAGCTATAGTTTGCTGGTTCTAGAAAAAGTAAAATTACAGTTTTTCTAGAGGAAATTACATGACCCTAAACCTCTAGGGTCTCCCCTGTACAGTCCACTGGACATTGGGAAGCCTTGTAAACCAATCACCGAACCAGGAGGAGACTGACGGAAGATTTGGTTTGGAGAATAACCCCCAATATAACATGAGGTTTCATTTTCACAAATAAGCACTTAGTATGGAATGTTCCAAAACACTTTCTTGGAAGAATATGGGATAGTATAAGAGCCCATAACCCAGCATTGGTACACGTTTTATATCAGTCACCTCAAACATATCTATTAAACTTCTCCCAGGTAAGATCATAGGAGAATCTTATGAGTAGATCGATTTGTCCAATTTCTTTCCTTTTCTTCTAATAATCTCAAATTTTGCCAACTCTGGGAATAGCCCCAATAGGGTTTTTTGTTTATTCTTAAGAAGGCAGATGTTACCTGCCCCTGGGTTACTCTAATAAACAAAAAATAGTTAAGAAAATTTAACTAGCAATTATGAACTATTAATTTGTATATCTGCCTTTAAAACAATCCATGCATACACATATAAATACAGCAAAGACCGGATGAGCCACGAATTGTGCTAGCAGGTTGGCTGAATGAGTGTGGTTAATTGGAGAGAACTTCTTACAAGTGTCTTTTGAGCTACGGTTTCTGAGTAAAACTATAGAGGCTCTTTCATATTTTCATTTTAAGAACCATTTCAAATAATTTGCAAGCCAACCATGAAATACTTCCCTTGTGCCTGTTTAGGGAAAAGTCTTCATTCAGCTTTTATGTCTTAGGGCTCTAACTGTTTTCATTTGGTTTATGTACCTTCTTTTATTCTCCTTCTAGTACTCAGGGCAGAGTAGTCAGTCAGAAGGAATGCTTCTGGTTCAGTGCTGGCATGGAAATATAGAGTCAATAAATGGTAACCTGATTAAGAAATGAAATAATAAGTTCCATTTTCACTTCTGCTTATTTTTTAACCCTACATGCCCAGCAAAATTCTTGGTCCAAAGCGACTTCTTGTTTGTTTAATGAAGGAGGAAAGGAAGGAATAACTCACTGCATGACTCTGAACAAGACACTTAGCAAGAACCCTATTTGTCACTCCCTTCTGGCACACACAATGTTATGCATAAATTATACTTTTATTGTTCAATATAAGCAGTACTAGAAAACTTATCAATATTCATACTTATCTATGCCCATATAGATTTACATTTATGTAATGCCCATATACATTTAGTGAGAGCCTATTCTTGAATATAAACTATTCCTATTTTTCAGGAATCAGTTAGGACTCAGCTATCTGGAGAATTAATTCAAGCCTTAGGGGCTTAACTTTTCATTACCGTTCTACCTCTGATTTGCTATTTCACTTTGAAAACTACACAAAGTAGTAGTTCTGAACTATAGCTCAAATTCACTTGCAAGTTTTTAGACAGGGAGAAAGTTGTAATTTCACTCTGTTAAAGAAATACAACAAAATAACCAAGATGCCTAAACTAGAGAGCAAGAATTTTCCAAGAAAAATAATCTTCCTTCTTCCCCTAAGATGCAAATCTGAGACAAAGATGGAAGTACATTCTGTCTTTAAATGTCCACTGCCTGGAGGTTAGATCATACACTAGGAATGAAAAGCAGAAAGGAAAAGGGATGAAGAATCCCATGTTGGAAACCCTGTACTTGAGGTAGTAGTGGAACATCCAGGTGCAGATATTCAATAGGCAGGTAGAAATAGAGACCTGGAGCTCCGACAGAGGCTTCCACAGACGTTTAGTTTGGGGTAGAAGGCTGCACGGTTATAAGCACTAAAGGGGAAAGGACGAGAACATGTAGTCTGAACACTGGTGGGATCTGGGCAAGGGCCAGCTCCATCTGGTGGCCCTACCATACCTGAGGGACAGGGGAATACCTCTGAAGAGTGGATAATGCTCAGGAGCCTTCTAAGAGAACCTGATTTTGATCATGAGAGGAAAGAAATCATTTTTTAAAAAGTTAACAATGTAGGGAAATTGTTTCACTGGAATAATGGTTGTAAACAGCAGAGAAAAGGGCTAAGAGTGAGAGGGAACAAAAAGATGTCAATCTAAGGAAGAGAGCAGTAAAGCATTCCCCAAATGGAATGCAAGCTCCTCGGAGCACAGCAATCATCTCTTCCATTCCTTTCCCATCCCACACCACGTGGCTTCTCAAATACGCTAACCGGCCCTCCCACGAAGCAGCCTGAATCCATCACAGAGAAGAGCACTTGTAGAGCATCTGTATACTTATTCCTAGAGCCCAATGTGGTCACCTGGTATCAAGACATTCAGGAATCGTTCAACGAGCTTGTACTTACCAGGGAGCCCTAACTAAGCATTTAGATTATAGCAAACACAGTAACCAAATTCTGACTTAGGATTTATCATTCCTTATAGCCTATTGGTTAGACATGAGTCATAATCACCAGTGAGAAAATTATACTGTTACAGCCAATGAATTCAAGATAAAGTGAGAAGTTCTGATGGACTTGAAGTATTTCTGATATTGTTTTGTGACCAAAGGTTATACTTGCAATTCATCGTACTTCAGAGGTCTAACAGTGTACTGTGATTGTTATTTTTTATTTATAGCAGTAGAGGAAGAGTATAATTGCTACCTAAACTCCTTATTATTTTGCTGCCATTTCAAATTTCTCAGATTCATGTCTCAGGTATTCAAAGGCACAAGATGGCCTGAAAAACACAACAGATAAGTATATGAACTACTTGAAAAGACTCAGTCATGGCTTAGAAGGGTATGTACAGACACTAAGGGGGAAAAAATCTTCCCTCTCAAGCTTTGCAATTCCTACAGAAGTCTTCAAACATTTAGAGTAGAACTTTGTTTTTTTTCCTTTGAAAACCTTATGATCTGGGTATTCAACCTTTTTGGTACATATACCATAAAGAGGAATATAATTTTTAAAAATCTTATGGTTTCCAAAAAAAAACCTAAGAAAGACCATAAATCTCTAGTACTTCACTAGTAATAGTCGCTCGAAATTATTATTTAAAAAATGTGCTATCTTACTAGATGAGAATAATACAAAGCATGTCAGATATTAACTGTACATAAGAATAAGACAGTGAGGCAAGGCATTTTATCTTTCCCAAAATCACAATAAAAAATTATTAATAATTCCTAGACGGGATGGAAAAGAAACAAAACACATGGTCTTACCAAAAAGCAATGAAATTACTTAGCAATGAAACAGCCAGCTATACTTTTTACTACAATACATTAATGGAAAATGCATCCTGAGAGGAACATTTTCCTTAGGAATCATAACTGTTAACTTCATGCCTGATCAAGACATAACATCAAATAATGAACTGGTGTGACAAATAAAATGCTGAAATGATATTACTAATATTATATATTATAATCCTTTATAGTCATTAAAAGAGGTAAAAACCATTTAAACAGACCTATGAAATGGATACCAATGTTTCATACTTGTTGATGTATGAAGTGACTCAAGGTGATACAGAACACAACTCAACAAAGTAAAGATATCAAGTCAATCTGAAAACAGCATGCCTGCCAGAGCAAACATGAAGAGTTAACTAATACAACTATACTTGCCTTGTTAGAGCCTTCCCCAAATCATCTGAACAGATGAGTACCCAAGGAAATGGCTAGCTATCTCAGGAAATATAAACTAATGCCTTTACTCCCCTAATTTGAAAAGACACTCAGGGTTGTTTTACTGAATTATGTTCCAAGGTAGAATCATTTTTTCCAGTTAAGAGACCAGGTTCCCCTGACACTGCTTCTGATAGCATGCTAATCCCCGGGTACCCTCTGCCCAGAGCAGCAGTTAGAAGGTGCAGGCTAGGAGGACCCTTTTCCTAAGGAGGAAACTGAAGCCTCCAGAAGTCAATGATCTATCTAAGGTCCCGCAGCAACAGACTAGAGCCCAGGTACAACATTCTTTCTGGGGTATCTGGTCCAATATTCCAGTTTAACATTCCTTCTGGGGGCATCGCAATGCCTCGGGGGGGGAAAAAAAAGAGTAGTTACAGTTCCTAAAGAGTTTTACTTCCAGGTCCATCATCAATACGCTAATTAATATGCTGTCAATACTTATAGCATTTTTGCTAAGCTAGATTAACTCTCTTTATCTTATATTTGCCATGTAAAATCACCTCCCAAACTTCCTCATTAAAAAATCAAATATGATTATAAAAGCTATCACACTGAGTTTTATGAAGCTTTTTGGCTACACCTATGGTACCTGACCATGTCAGCAAGTTGGAGATATTCCCACAAAGTAAAGACAACTATGATTTTAAAAGACATGAATAAAAATACTATTCTGTATGACCTACCTCCTTTGAGCTTTATTCATTTCATATTTTTTAATAGAAAACAAGATAGTAACAAGTACTAACTATTAAGTAGTCGCCTATTACGGTACCTTAGCAGCCTTATTAACCTTGTCTTCGTTTTCTCTCTTATACACAAAAACTGAAGCAAATTTGCCATCTTGCAGCACAGCGGGATAAACAGCAAGTCCGGAGGGTAAGGTGAACGGTGGCTCTTTCAGCGTATAGCTCTTCAGAGCACTGTTCTCTGCTCCCATCCCTTATGCAGTGGGCAGGGCTGCAGCTCCTCCTCAAAGCCAAGGAGACCTGAAAGAAAGCAGAAATACTTTCAAACATTCTCTATGTGCAGCATGAGCCAGAGATAGCCAAGTATCCAGACACAGCCACTCAAACTTACCAGTTTCTACAATCCTCATACACTAGGCCATCTGACCATAAAAGTGGCAAACGCTCAGCAAGTTACCAGCAATGCTTGTCAATTAACCAACAGCTCTAGAGAAAATGCACTTAACCAAGTAGTTACACGCAGTTACTGTCCCTCCCAACCCCCACCACACATAGAACTTTCAGAGAGGAAAGGCAATCAAAAATAGAATAAGATCATTCATGCCCTAACCCACTCACATATCCTGCCTCTCAGAGGAAAATGTTGCAAAACCTGATTATTCAAAAATGATAAAACTTCTGCGTCTAAAATAACTTAAAGTTATAAAGGAAAACAATACAAATTGGAGAATATTTCTAACAATGATAAAAAACATGTTAACAAATGGAGAGCTCAGATAAACCAAGTAAAACACGAAAACACCAAAGGAATAACAGGAAAGGAAACAGACAATCCACTGAATACAAACGACAATAAGTGTAAGAAAAAGCGCGCCCTCACTGCTCTTCAAAGTTCTCTAAGTAAAAAGGAAAACCGCAAAACTGTTTGATCTCAAACGCACACATACACGAGATTCTAGAAAATGCAAACTACTCTATAATGACAGAAACTAAATCAATGGTTGCCTGGGGTGGGGACCCAGCTGGAGGGACCAGGGGAGAGGAAAGCATTGCAAAGAGGTATAAGGAAACTTTGGGGGGAATGGATACATTCATTGTCTTGATTATGATGAGTATGGTGATGGGTGATTACAAATATCAAAACTTATGAAACTGTACACTTCAAATATGATCAGTTTATTGTATGTCAATTATACCTCAATAAAGTTTTAAAATTTATATTATATATCTATGTACGTATGTGTATACATATATATACACACACATATACACATACATACATACACAGACACACACAGACTTGAAAAATACACTAAAGTATTAACAGAGGTTTGCTGTGGGGTGTCAGATCATGGGTAATTCACATACGTGCAGACACAGACATCTGCCCGCACCTCCCAAATCATCCACAATAAGAACATATCTTTCTTTACAACAGGGATACAAACTCGCATGGTTACAACAGGCAATGCACAGCCATCCAGCACATTGGTAGAGCAGCAAAGCACCTACTGTGTGTGCACAGGCACCTACTATGAGAGGGCTTGCACTCTGAAGGGAGCAGCCATCACCAAGTCCCAACAGGGACTGCAGTTCCAGAGTTGCCAGATCATGTCAGTTATCATAAGGAGCCAAGAGCCTGAATATTTATATGGAAATTTCCATTTTTTCCAATATTGGCTCATTTTTTTAAACCTGTATAGGCCAAACAAGCTATGTCTGGAAAATTTGTGGCAGTCAGCCTTCAGCTCTGGCTTTACCATAATTTAAAAAATAAAAAGAGTTCTTACTAACTCTGGCAACGTGGCAAGCAAGTTGCCAGTTCTAAACAACACAGCCAAAAGTTCTACGTAAACCTTTAACAACTTCAGTTCTAAATGTGCATCCTTAGGATAAATACAAACCCAATAATCCTTATACACAGACTCTCTACTTGGATATTTTTTCCACTTTGGTGAAGTTCTGCACATTTCTTGTGTTATCAGAGTACGTAATGCTGCTCAAGACACATACCTAAGACGGTGAATTTCAAGAGCCTACAGACCCACACACATCATTATATAAGGAACACCACACATACAAGAGCTAAAGCCATCTAAAATTAAAGTTCTTCCACATCCAAAAATGTTTCTGAGGATAAGAACTAAGTTGGCTTTGTATCAAATCCACTGAGCTCCTACCCACCTAGCAATTTCTCTTTCCTAAGGACGATAGAAAAATAAAAAATAAAAAAAAAACAATATTAAAAATGCCAAATCTCAACTATATATAATATTCACCTTTCTATTGGGACCACAGATAAAAGTAGTGCTTATGCAGGATCATGGAGAAAAACATCTATTGTTAGTTCCCCTATTCTGGAGACGGTGTGGGGGCTGCCTAGCCTGGGACAACAACCCCCACCCCTTCCCACTGAGGAGGGAGGGTCAGGTTCAGAATGCACATCTTGCGCCTCTCTTCTTGGGCATAGTTAACGGGTCAGATGCCTACCCGGGCCAAAAGGCAATCAATTCACGCGTTAGCCATCTCTAGGACCCACGGCCTGGATGAAGAGCTAGACTGGCCAGATCGTTGTCTGCCCCAGGACTCTGAATGAACAAGAGATATTTTTGTCTATTAGCAGCACAGCCGAAGGTAAAGATGCCATGAGGTACAGTCAGGGCTACAGCAAGCCAAAGCCATGGAGAAGCAGCAACTTGGCGGGCACAGAAGCAGCCGGCTGGCAGCAGGGGAAGGCAAAGCAAACACTGGGAGAGCAGCTTAGTCAGAGTTATAGGGGCACATGACCACCCTCCATCTCGAGGCTAGAGGAAGCCCAGCGTCAAACCCATTTCCTCACGGCCTCACTGACACGCTTACCATCAGGAGCAGCCCGAGGACACCTGAGTTAGCTTGGATGTGTCCATGGTCTTTGAAACCAGTTGCCATTTCATAAGCAGACAACTCTACTTCTCTTTAACTCTCCCTGTCTGCAAAACCAGTCAGACCAGAGGAATGAGCTAGAGAAGTATGACTTGGAAAGTGTATATCTGAAACTAGTCTAACTTCCTTCTCTCTCTCAGCCACAAATCATAGCTTTCCAAAAGCAACACATAAGGAACTGCAAGAAAATGAAAATCCTCTTGGCAGAAAACCATGCTGCTGATTTAGTTTTAATATTAGTTCCCCAAAGAGATAAGATGGTCCCCAGGATTCAGAGGCGGTGCTCTGGCTGAATGAACAGCAGTCAGCAGAGGTACAGCAACGGACATTTAATTTACTCAGTCATTTCTAAATAGTAAAATACTTCCTTATGGGAATACTGGGCCTTACAACATCTACTAACCTTCAATTTAATATTATAAATTCCACTACAAGATAATTAACAGTTTAGGGTTATGAAAGCTTTAGGAAGAGGTTAAAACTGGTAATTTTTCTTAGCAGTGTGTGTTTTGGGTCTAAAATCCTAAGAAATATCACCTAAAAATTAAAAAGGAATGACTCCCCCTCTTGAGAGAACTCGAGAGAAAGGATGCTATTTTGTTGTTTTGAAAGCATGATTAATGCTGACAGAAGTCTACTCATACCAGCAGTGTGACGTTTCCAGACCAGCAGGGTTATATCCTATGTCCAGTGCAAACTTGATGAAGGAGAAATAAAAAGATATGCTGTTGACTGCAATTTGATAATGTCTTAAAAGCAGTTAATTCTTGATTCATTTCACACAGCTGTATCCTAAGAGGCACAAAAACCGTTGATATAAACAGCACTTTAAAAATGATATTCAGGGCCGGCCCCGTGGCTTAGCAGTTAAGCGCGCGCTCCACTGCTGGCGGCCCAGGTTCAGATCCTGGGCACGCACCGACGCACCGCTTCTCCAGCCATGCTGAGGCCGCGACCCACATACAGCAACTAGAAGGATGTGCAACTGTGACATACAACTATCTACTGGGGCTTTGGGGAAAAAAAAAAGGAGGAGGATTGGCAATAGATGTTAGCTCAGAGCCGGTCTTCCTTGGCAAAAAGAGGAGGATTAGCACGGTTAGCTCAGGGCTGATCTTCCTCACAAAATAAATAAATAAATAAATAAATAAAATAAAAATGATATTTAGCTAAAATGGACTTAATGAAATGTTAAGACTGATAAACAATACACTTGGACTTCCAAAATGCTCTCTTTCTTGTTTTGAACAGGGAAAGGGAAAACACAAAATCTTTTGGCTTTGAAATAAAGTCACAAGACGGTAGAAAAGGATATTCTAATATTGTGATATTAGCATGGGCATTTTGCAGAATTTACCATCTCCACTCTTTATAATATATTGCTGAGTAGGCGGTTTCTGATTCAAATAACATCATGTCTCCTTCAAAATTTGTTCACCTATCTTCACCCTGTTGCTTCCTTGGGCAGCACATCAAGACTCTGGGCCACCTGTGGATTATGTAAGACCTTGTCTGGGTCACTGGGCAACTCATACACATGACTAAGAAATCTGCGTCTCCCGAGGAACTCTCTCTCCCTCTGTTCTTTGCACAGCAATTAATTGAGATGATCTTGGTCCTGGATGCCTTAGCTTGGAAGTCCGAAAGATAATGGCTTGCTTCCACTGAGTTCCAAGGACACTCTGTATTGATTGATACTTCGTTATCTGGCGATAACATTACTCTGGGCCCTTTGCTTTGATCTGTTTCAGGTATATATTCCCTGTATTGAACTCAGTCCAACATTGCTAGCTAACCAGCAATACATAATGAGGCCTTTATGGACCAAAAGAACTAAGTATGATTTCAGCTAAGAGATGAGATGTTCTGTGGATATGCACACGGGTCCTTAAAAACAGGAGTTAACAGTGATTGCAAAATTCAGGACTGGACTGTGAGTATTCACGTGGTTTCCTAAATATGATCTTCTGAGAAATGTTTCATTTTTATTCTAAATAAAAAGCACTTCGCAAAGACAGGACCCAACAGGGCCTATGGGGACCGGGCAGTGGTCTCGGATCAAGAGTGAAGGCGGCTTCCCAGGGCGGGCGCGACCTCAGGCTCCGGCACGGCGGCCCCCGGCACCGTCCCGCCCCGCCGCGCACCCTCGCCCGCCCCGGGAGCGGG